AAAAAAAAAAGAAAAGAAAAGAGATCTGCTTTCTTAGGGGACGCGGGGGTGGCGCTGCATTTCTTAGGGTAGTTTTTGGATTTGAAACCTAAAGACATTAAAACTCTCCCTTTGGTCTGAGGCCACAGTGGCTCTACACCTGTAAACCGACACTTTTGAGGAGGCCCAACGGTGGGAGGATCACTGAGGCCCCGCCAGCAGTTCAAGAGCCGAGCGGGCAACCATGGCCATAAGTCTATTGATCTCCAAGTCTAGTTGGAGTTCAGAAAACTCTGTCTTTGAACAGCTCTCCATGATGTTCTTAAGTTTTTTCTAAATGCTTGGTTCTCTGTCCTCAGCATGTGTTATTAAGTCATCTATAAATGCTAAACATTCTTTACTGAGTAAGGACAGGTGGTCTCAAACCGTGGTCTGGTCGTCTCAGAAGTCCCTTCCACACTCTTAAAAGTTGCTAAAGGACCGCTTAAGAGATTTTGTTTATGTGGGCTTATGTGCTATCAGCGCGATTACGACTGAGGAATTGTTTTAGCTTATTCATTTCTAACATCACATAAGAATAAACTCATTTTTGAATGTAAAGAGTAATTATGGAAAACATCACTACTGCTTTTCGCAAAAAACCATGTTTGCTGTGTGCGTGTGAGAGGCAATGGACGCTTTTTAACATTTTTGAAGATTTTTTATGTAAAATATAAAATTCAAAAAATTTTAACATTTTTCGAAGATCGCCTTAAGTGTCTAGTTGCATGAGAAACAGCTGGATTCTCAAGAATCTGTTTCTGAAGTCATGTCTGATGTGATACCCACATTAGTCACATGCCAGCGCTGAAACTGCCACTGTACACTTGCTGAGAGGAATTCCTACAATGAAAAAGGACTCAAAAGGGCCGGGCACGTGGCTCAAGCCTGTCAAATGCCCAGCCACTTGGGGAAGCGAGACGGGCGGTCACAGAGTCAGGAGATCGGGCTAACCGCATGCCTGGCAACACGGTGAACGCCCGTCTCTACTGAAAATAGTACCAAAAAATCTAGCCGCCGGCGGTTGGTCGGCGCGCTGTAGTCCCAGGCTACTTGAGGCTGGAGCAGGTGAGAATGGGCAGGCACGGCCGGGAGGCCGGACTTGCAGGTGACGCTGAGATCTGGCCACATGCACTCCAGTCCTGGGCGGAGCGAGAGCGAGAACTCTGTCCTCAAAAAAAAAAAAAAGAAAAGAAAAAGAGCAAAGGGAACTGTGCCAGCTCCGGGTGGGCTCACGGCGGTTGTAATCCCCAACACTTTGGGAGGCCAAGACAGGCGCAGAATAACCTTAAGAAACTCAGAGATTAAAGAAGGCTGGGGCAACATGGCAGAAACGCA